CTTCAATCAGTCGAAAGAAAATGATTTAACATTCTTTAAATAAGAACATGCATATCTTAGAATGAGGCTGCCTAGATACGCCTGGCCAGCCAAACCAAATTCTATTCAGTTTATTTCTATAGCTCCAATTCACATCGTGTCATCTCAGGTCACTTTCCAGTTCACCAGATCATCCAGTCAGATTGATTCAGATTGACCAGGGAGGCGTCCAGGAGGCATCCTAACCAGATGCCTGAGCCACCTCAACTGGCTCCTCTCGATGTGGAGGAGCAGCGGTTCTACTCTGAGTCCTCCCAGGATGACTGAGCTCCTCCCCCTCTCTAAGGGAGAGCCCAGACACACTACGGAGAAAACTCCTTTCACCCGCTTGCTGCATCATGACCATAGATGCGGGTAGGAAGCATCAATAAACGATTTATTGATTACTAAATTAGTGGATGATTATCAGAATAATTGTTTCAGCCCTATTTGAATGATGGTCAAAAAGGCTGATTTTGGGTGATTGATGGCAGATGAATGATCCCATTTATTACTAGTTTAACATTTGTTGCTATTATTTATTTACTGTGTGAAAAGTGGAAGAAAAATGAATTTTCTAAACACTAAAAAACAGCCTCTGTTCTTCACCAACAGCAAATAAAAACCTCAGAGTTTAGTTTAAGAACGTAGATCATTTGCAGTAGAATGGGTGACGTGGTGGATCTACACAGAATTCAAAACAAAGACAAACTTCTTACAAACACAGGAAGTCCACAGATGAAACTAATCCCACCAGAAAAGGGCGGAGCTTATTTTTTTAGACCAAAACCTGAAATCCCCAGAAGTTCTCCCTCCTGTTCGTGTTGAACTGTGAAAATACTGAATGCCTTCGATAAAAAGAATAAAATGCCGGAATGAGAGCTGCAGCATCAGCACATGTACCTGCGAGTGCTGCAGATTGATGGTCTGCAGGGAGCGGCTGTGCAGACCCAGGCTGTGCATCCCGCTCGCCGTCAGACCTTTGCAGTACGACAGGTGGAGGGAATGAAGGTGGGGACAAAACTTCGAAATGCTCTAAATGAGTCAACAAACAGAAACAAAGCCATATTTTTCATTTAGGCGATTTATTTCGATGGATTTTTGGTACATCTTTAATGTTTAGAATAAAATCATTCATTTTCAAAAGAGGAGTTTCTATGACGGAGTTTTAGGGCCAGGCTAGGGATTTTTTATTTCAAGAATAAAGGCGTAACATTACGAGAATAAAGTCATATAATTACAAAAATAGAGTCATCAAATTACCAGAATAAATTCTTAAAATTTTGATAGTTGTATAAAAGCAAGAATAAAGTAATACAATATTAAGAATAAAGTTGTAAAATAACAAAAATAAAGTCATTAAATTACGAGAATAAAGTAATTAAATTACGAGAATAAAGTCATAAAATTACGAGA